CGTACTTGTTTTTTTTTTACCCTCGCGAGAAGGAATTGGATTGATCGATTTATTATCTCGGTCGCGTGTTTCACGGAGCTTCTCCGATGGGAGTGTGGAAGTTTCTGCATATTCATTCATTATAAACGCCGCAAACTGATGCCCAACGGAAGGTCGATTAATACAACGTTCAATCGAAGGTCAAAGGCTAATATTGAAATTGATTAATCGCAAACCCTCGTCGTAAAACTTGGATGATTTTTATCTCTCACATTTTTAATGATAAATGGCAGATAAATTATTGTGAGATTGTGAAAAAAAAATAAGGGAAAAAAAAAAACAAATGTTAGTACTTAATCAATTGTAAAGTTGGAAGATTCACGGCGGTACAAATAAAATAATAAAATGCACTATCTAATTATGCAATAAGAAATAAGATATAACATTTCTCGCTTGCTGTTGCTTGCTTGCGTTTGTTTGGGGATTTGCCAACTTCACTGATTTCAAATGTAAATATATTCTCTCTATCGAGAAGGTCTTTCACCTTTATTTATCACGAAATAATAAAATTTCCAGTTCGAGGAGAAGTATTTCGCAAAAAGTTTCCGCGCTCGCGAACATAACTCCTGCACACACACGCGAAAGTGAAACGAGAACTCGAGTCAAAGTTCGGTCGCTCGACTTCCAGTCGGCGAGTTCGGTCGACTCTTCCGCGTAGCTCTTACGAGAAGTTGGACAACGAGCCTCGTGAAAGATTACTTACAGCGGTACGACTCGAGAGAGAGAGGAGGGGGGGGAGGGGAGGTAGAGACGCGAGCTCTCGCACTCGCATCCGTTGCCTCGGAGGGGTGTCGGATGCACCAATGGCTCCAGAACTTGTTCCCTAACTAAGTTCCCCAGCGAGGCCCCTAACGAAGTAAGTTTCCAGTCGTAAAGCGGAAGTGGCCGCTGCGACGCGCTATACCGCGTATTTCGCCTCACGACTGAACTCGCCCGGCTCGCGCGGGCTCTTAATCGTTTTCGGGATCCTCTATCGCATCTCGCGCGTTAAATGTGCAAGGACGCCGCGGCGGCGAGGAAATTAGGAGGGAAACGAGATAACGGATTGCGTCAATGTACCTTGGTCAGCGGAAATTGTCGCCCTGCCTCTCGTCGCGCATGCGAATTTAACACTTTTTTTTTTTTTGGTTACGTTTTTCCACGTTCCACGTGTGTGGAGTAAGCGTTCAAACAAATGATAAAAAAATACTGGATGGATCAACAGTTTTTTTTTTTGTTGTGTTAAACGAAAAACGCTATCTTCATCGTATAGTTAACTTTTACGTGTCTTACTCTTACGTCAAAAGGATAAAAATATTTCAATACCGTAAATTGTATTGTTACAATTCGAGTTCTTCAAAACAATCGGAACAATTGAAATTTGTAATACTTACAGTAAACGGCTTCAGCTTGGAATAATCGAGGAAGTCCAGTTTGCGATCTTGCATGAATTCGATCGGCATGGCGTCGTCGTGCAATTCGGCGCGTGCCACGAGAGGATAGAAAGTCTAGAAACAAATATGCGATTTTCAATTATATACTCTCATGTAAAATAACATTTTAGTTCACGTAGCATGTTTCTATCGTTCAACGTATGCGAGCTGCATTTAATTAAACTTCAATTTACATTAAAATGCCAAAAAAGCTGAATATCATTATGAAAGATGTAATATAATAATAAAATTTGCACCAGAGCATTTTTAAAGAACAGATATTTAATTCATTTGTTTAATGAGGAGATTATATTTTAATTTTACATAAATTGATTTTGGTTGGACGAATTAATTAAAAATCTCGACCAATTACATGATAAAAATATAATTAGCATATGGTACATTTGAATAAGAGAGACATATTATTAAAAAATGTTTCCATATTTTATAAAAAGATATAATTAATAATTTTTATTGGCATCCAATTTAAATAAAATTAATTATTACTCGAAAAATAAAAATAAAAGAGATAATGATCATCACAGCGATATTTCATTGATATTTATACAGCACTGCATTCAGGCTTTGTAGAATTCCTTTATATTATAAAAAAATTGCGCGGAAAGCAAAAATTCAATATTATATAAATGTAATTATTTTTGCGTCGTTGAGTCTTCGCAAAATAATTCAGTTCGCTCAATCGAAGCATTAAAATTTTAATGAGAAAAAGAGCGCCGAGTCAGTGGAACGCGGCGATCTGTTTTGTAGCGGTCGAATTGTATTGATTGTAAAATTTATTCCCAATGGGAATGGAGAATCGAGTATTTCATTAATTAACCACGGACTAATTAATATTCAAATGGGATCGCGAGCATTCCTCAATTATCATCGCTAAAATATGAGAGATCTGCATTAAAAATGATAAATCGTGATAGCTTCTCTGTATAATTCGAAAAAAATCACACATGATAGATTATCGCGAAATTTCACGCGTGAGTATTATCGTGCATGCATGATGTAAACTGTGATAAAAATATTCTCCTTCACAATATCATATAATTTATATAATCTATTTTCTGAACGAGAAGCGAGAAATTTCTATAATTTAAATTTCTACAATACAAATTTGATTCCTAATGTAAAGGAGAAAAAAATTTGCTGTTGTTCACTGTCGAATCATATTTAGCGAAAATTTGAAGGACGCTATCTCCCTTCATTTTTTTAATGGTCAAGCGTTAACAAATCTTTTTACAATTTAATTCCCAATGTAAAATCATATTACATTGATGCATGCTATCTAATG